TGTTGTACTTACCTGCTCGCTACTGGAAATTTTGGTAACTGTTACTTAGGAAATATTTTCCTACAGATTTGTTGACTCGCAACTATATTTGAAATGTCACTTAGGGTTGGGCTGAGTGGCTTACCCCTGTAATCCCAACACTTTGGGAGGCCAAGGCAGGCAGATCACTTGAGGTCAGGAGTTAGAGATCAGCCTGGCCAACATGGTGAAAACCTCATCTCTATAAAGATACAAAAATTATGCAGGCCTGGTGATGTGCACCAGTAATCCCAGCTTCTCATGATACTAAGGCAGGAGAATTGCTTCAACCTGGAAGGTGGAGGTTGCAGTGAGTCGGGATTGCGCCACTGCACTCCAGCCTGGGCGACAGAATGATACTCTGTCTCAAAACAAAAAACAAAAAAAGCAATAGCACTTAAGGCAGACAACTGACACCTTGTAACAGGCAAAGGCAGGCTGGTTGTGAGCTCAAGATGGCTGCAAAAGGGGACAGTAGCCAATTGTCTTGGTTTGCCAGGGACTCTCCCTGTTTCAACACCAAAAATGTCATGTTCCAGGAAAACTCTCAGTCTTGGGCAAACCAGGATATTGTTCATCCTGTCAGGAGCCCAGAGTGAAAAGGAGCTGCCTCTGCAATGCTGGTATTCATCATGATGGGGAATGATCGTAGGATGGCAGTGTTCTGGAAGGGTGGCCCAAATAAGGCTATTTAGCATTTTCAAGCACAAAGCAAAATATTGACTCATTTACCTCCTTCCATTCAACAGTATTTATTGGGCATCTACTATGTACACTTGGTAGGCACAGTTCTAGGTGCAGAGATTTAATGGTGAACAGAGCAGAGAAAATCCTTGGGCTTGTGAAACTTACATTTTAATGGAAGGGACAGATGATACACAAATGTAAGACATAGATCCATAATGAGAACTATTGATAAGTACTATGAAGAAAAATAATGCAGGGCACAGAAGAGAGAATGATGTGGATTCCTGTTTAAGACAGGATAATCATCGGACTCTTTCTGAGGTGACATTTGAACAGAGGCGAGAATAAAGTGAAGGAACAAATTATGCAGGTATCTGAGAAAACAGGGTGCCAAGAAGAAACCACAGGTGCAAAGGCCTTGGGGCAGCCGGGACACGCTGAGCTTGCTTAGGGGGCATGTGGAGCCCAGTGCGGCCTGCATGGAGCAAGGCAGGTGGATATGATGGGAGATGGAGCAGGGGAATTTGCAGATGGACCAGCTCACTTAGGAGTGCTTGCTTCCACAGGCGTAATGAAGACGTAGGTATAACGGCTATCCTGAAGGACACACAGTGCTTCCTCTGGAGTCTGTAGTTGGAAAGAAGGTTAATTTTCCTTGTACCTGCTCTTGAATACTTTCCTTTTTTAAAAAAAATTATGTGCATGAATTACTTTTTAAAAATCAAGTAAATAGCTTAAAATACCTTAAAATAATAAACATGGTTTGATAATTTTAAGTAATAAATAAAAAGTTAAAGTTGCAGCCGGGGATGCTGTTGGAAGGGAGAGCCTCAGACGGTTTGTGTTGGGCCACCCTGGTGACAGGCCTGTCCGGGCAGCGGGACTTGAGCCCAGGGACTGTGGTGGCTTTGAGTAAACAGAAACCCAGAGTGAGGGTCCTACCACAGAGGACAAGAGCCCAGCCTCTGCCAGCATCCTCCAAGGGCAGGAAGCTGGCCTTACTGATACTGATTTGGAGAGAACAAATAGTCACAGATTCATCCTAGATCTTCTAAGATTTAACCATTATCCATCTTGGCTGGCTAATGCTGAGTGAGATTGTCTTATAGGCAAAAAATTGGAGCAGGTAAAATTCCCACTCCCATTCTCCAGTTGCCCAGCTATGGATTCTGTGGTCCTAATGGGAGAACGTAGAGAAGCTAAAAATAAGTTTGCAGCGGTCAGGCCCCTCCAGAAGGAAAACATGGATTTAGAAAGCTTCTTGAGAGGTTTGGGGTAGGATGGGGAGAGGTTGAAAATAATGAAATAAACACCAATCCCAAATGGGACCTGCAGGCATCTTGGGATGAGCCTGTCCCGCCTCTTGGAGAACAAAGATGACTAACAGCTTCCTAAAATATTAAAGGAACTTTCCATGAGGGTTGTTAAATTGACCTACACCTTTATTCCTCAGACACATTTTTTAAAGCAGGGTGGGGTTAGTGGTACAATGTTTGCGAAGCATGATTCTGGCTTTGCAGAGAGATGAAGAGAAGCTCCCCACCCCTCCCTGTGTGTGCAAAGTAGAACATGGGAGAGTCCACAGAGCATTCCCGCAGCCCTTTCCTCCCCCAGAGCTTCTCTCCCTCGGCTCCTTGTTGTGAGGTTCTCACTGCCTTGCAGAGCCACGGTCCTCTCCACAATCCTGTTTTCCAAATGGCAGCCCCAGGGAAGAAAAGGGAGGTGTCAGGATTCTTACTGGAGGCCCTGTTCTTGCCCCTACCCTACACCCTGCATATCTCACAAAGCGAGGATTGCGGCAGCGATCTTGCTTAGGCTGAGCCTGTTCTTAGGTTGGCAAACCCACCAGAAGATTGGGACACCTGTGACTGTCATCCTCCCAGTCCCACGTTTCTCCTCACTTCTGCTTCAAATGCGAGACCCCAAGATTTCCACACAGAGAAGTTGGATTGCCTTAAAACATGGTGGGCTTCTGTATATTTGTTTTACTTCAATTAAATAAAAAAGGTAAAAAAGAAAACACTTGGTGGGCAAAGCCCTGGCCTGATGTCTCACACTTACTGTACGCCAGGCACTGTTCTGGATGCAGGGATTCGTCACATCCCTGCACTCACAGAGCTTATGTTCTAGCAAGGGAGACAGACAATAAGCAATAACTCCAATAAATAAGTGCATTCTTGTAGTAGTATAATGGCAGGGAGTCCTGTGGGGAGAAAGTGGGAGGGATTGGGAGGCCCAGGCTGGAGTAAGACCTCAGCGGTCTCCTCTGGGTTAAAACAGATCATACTTAGCTGGTGTGTCCTAGGAACTGAAGATGCTGGTAAAGTTAATTCCCTTCCACTTTTCTGTGCCTAAAAATTCTCATTACTGAGAGTGTGAAATTCAGTATTTACATGCAGTAAGCACACAGGAGCTAAAAACTGAACAGAGGTGAACAACGTAAGAAAACCATCACCACAGTTAAGATCTTATTTGGGGTTATATGGCAAGGGGCAATATTTATCAAATTAATTAAGATATTCCATGATTGTACCTTTCATTATGTATAAATGTAAAGCAAGTTTCTAGCACTGGGAGGAAATCCAAGACTGAGTATGAGTAAGTGATGTATGCCTCTGAATTAAAGATTTTTTTTTTTTTTTTTCGACAGAGTCTTGCTCTGTCGCCAGGCTGGAGTGCAGTGGCATGATCTCAGCTTACTGCAACCCCTGCCTCCATGGTGCAAGGAATTCTCCTGCCTCAGCCTCCCAAGAAGCTGGGATTGCAGACACACACCACCACACCTGGCTAATTTTTGTATTTTAGTAGAGACGGGATTTCACTGTATTGGCTATGATGGTCTCGATCTCCTAACCTCATGATCTACCTGCCTTGGCATCACAAAGTGCTGAGATTACAGGCACGAACGACTGTGCCTGGCCAAATTCAAGATCTTAGAGCCCATTTTAAAGTATATTTTGATCTAGGTGGGTTACCTAGGTCAAAATCTTAAGCTATAGCTTAAGATGAGTTTTTTCATATGTATATACCTAGGTAACCCACCTAGATCAAAATATACTTTAAAATGGGCTCTAAGATCTTGAATTTGGCCAGGCACAGTCGTTCGTGCCTGTAATCTCAGCACTTTGTGATGCCAAGGCAGGTAGATCATGAGGTTAGGAGATCGAGACCATCATAGCCAATACAGTGAAATCCCGTCTCTACTAAAATACAAGCTATAGCTTAAGATCTGCACATTTTTAATGTACATTAATTATATCTCAGTGAAAAAAGAAAGCAAGCTGTGGTTACCATGGACCATAGACTCAGGCACTGCTCAGATGCTGGCAGTTCATGAGCACTCACACTACAGCGGGAGGGGCCATGAGCAGGACAGATTCTGAGAACAGGGGCGCAGGGAAGGGACCAAGGGAATCTGCCCACGGGTGCCTGCATCCTACAGCAACCCCAGCAGGTGAGAGACGGATGTGGGCCAGCCTGTAATCACACTGCCTTTATTGCTATTCCTGCCTCTCCTTGAAGGCACCTGGGCTGATGGGGGAACAAAATCCCCACACAGCAAGTAACTGGAGAGCAAGTCTGGGCAAGGCCACCAGCTTTCAGGGACAATGCTGTTATCCCTGCCGAGCAAGGTACATCTTCCCCGCTTCCTGGCTTCTAGAACAGGCAGCAGCCAAGTCTTTGAGGTCATGGAGTAGTCACGGGCTACGTGGGGAGTAGCTGTTTGCACCCACAAAGATAGCCGGCTGAATGGACTTGGTACTGCCCTGTCATCTCCATCTCATTCTATCTCTGTCTCTTTTATTTATTTATTTATTTATTTATTTATTCTTTTAGAGACGGGTGGCACTATGTCACTAGGCTGGATCCAAACTCTTGTGCTCAAGCAATCCTCCCACCTTAGCCTCCTGAGTAGCTAGGATAACAGGCAGGCACCACCATGCTGGGCCTGTCTCTATCTCTTTATCTCTCTGTGTGAATCTCTGTGGCTCTCTGCCCCTGAGACACACCCAAGATTCTACACATTCTTACAAGACACCTAGCAACCATCTCAGGATGCCCAGAGTCCCAGGCAGCCCATCACCTCCTGTGCACACAAGGTGAGACCCTGCACATCCAGAACTAACAGAAACTGTAGTGGGTTGCTTGTTTTCATAGTAAAGCATGCTTCTTGGAAGGGTGATCTCGGGGCATGGTTGTGAGGCTGGAGTACGAGGGCTCGAATGATCCCAACACATGGAGATGGCTGTCCTGCTCTCAAGCACTCACTGGCTGTTTTCTGTTCTTCCCTACAGGAGGCAGTGTCGCATTGCCCGGAAGAAGGCCAACTGGCCCGAATCCAAAATGTTATCCAGGAGCTTCCCCCATCCCACTATAGGTGAGAATCGTTGGGAAAAGAAAGGTGTGGTCTCTCAGTGCAATGTAACACCAAAGAGGCTGGCATCATGAAAAGGAGCCAATGTAGTGGACAGTAGCCAGTTTAGGCTTTCTCAAGGGCATTTTGAAGTTGGTGAACAGGTCACTATTATCGAAGTGAATTGGCGCCTGACCAGGGCCATTGGCAGCAAGGAGCAGCCCGTCTCCAAGTCACCTGTAGAACACCCCTCAGAATCCCTCAGGAAGTCATTCCAATGATGCATACAAGCCTCTTGGTGGCATTCTTGGTTCATACCCAGATTTGTAGCATAACCAAATCTATGGCAACCAAGGTAGCTTTTCAACAGGGGCTGACCATGGGCTCTTGAGCATTGGCTGATTGATCTGTTTGCTCATCAGTACCATCCCCTACATCATCTCATCCTTTCATTTCATTCTCACAGTTTAGCCCCCTAATTTTGCCACCTTTCCCAGTGTTCCCAATGCCTGCCCATTCTTTACAAGGGGGCAGATTTTTATGTGGTATGAGAAAGACCTTCGTAGCAATAATAAATATTGTTTATCTATGAAATTAGCTCCCTAACAAGTACCACAATCCCTGTAGCTGGAAGAATTTTTATGAAAACGAGCCTAGATAAGAGCCTATTTCAAAACTGCGTGGAGGCCGTCCTACCCTTCTGGAAAGGAGGAACAAATGGCCACTAAGAGCCTCCAGGCTATGAGGTGCTGTGACTCCCTGGTTCTGTCTCTGGCTGGTGCTCCACAGGCCTCTGCTTACATCTGACAAGATGGACCCCCTTCCCCACCCTGGGCCAGTGTGCCTAGGCGCAAGAAAATTACTTCCATCAATCTTGACATCTTCCCAATATTCCTTCAAAATTCGTAAGATAGAAATATGTAGAGTCTCTTAAATCCAAACTTAGAAATTATCTCTACATGTTGGGCTTCGCACAGGCACTGAAGTTTCTTTGTCAAAAAACAAACCATTCTAGGACCTTGGAATACCTGATTCGACACCTGGCCCACATTGCCTCCTTCAGCAGCAAGACCAACATGCACGCCCGGAACCTGGCCCTGGTGTGGGCGCCAAACCTCCTCAGGTAACCACTGCACCCTCCCCGTGTCACCACCCTGGGGGAGCTCAGAGCAGCCCCCTGATTGAAATGAAGATGGGACTCTTCAGAATTGAAGCCCCTTTAAGGCAAATCTGTGGCTAAGTGGTCATTATAGCACATATGAATGAAAGGTGATTTAGGTGATAATAGCCTAAGCTTTCTCCCTGCTAACTTGGAAACTGAGTTCCAAAGGCATTGTTGGTTATAGCCACAATATGGCGGAAGTTAGGGGTCTGTATGTTACAATTTCTTGAAAAGGCCTTTGTTGTCTTAGGGGCTCACTGGCTTGTTTTGGTGGAGTCACAGCTGGCTGCAACCTGAATCAGCTGCTTCATATGATTTCATAAATGATCACATTTCAGTTAGGGGGAATGGAAAGCATACTATGCAGAAAACAAAAGTCAATCTCTGTATGTTTACAGGATAGTGTTTATAGTATTGCAATGTAGAGTACCTGGTAACTGTTTCAAATTTGTTCAGTTTATTGGGCTTCACAGCCTTTGGAGAGTTCCTTTAATTGGCTTAGTTAAAATATTCTATAAACTGTATCAATTTAGGTGACAGGGCTTGTGCAGAAGGCCAGCTGGCTCCCCTTGCTGCTTCAGGTTGTAAGGCAAACTCACTCACTGAATGTGTTTCTTCCGCACTGTAGGTCTAAAGAAATCGAAGCCACTGGTTGCAATGGAGATGCAGCCTTCCTTGCAGTCCGGGTCCAGCAGGTGGTGATTGAGTTCATACTGAATCATGTTGATCAAATCTTTAACAATGGTGCACCTGGGTCTCTGGAGAATGATGGTAAGGACTCCTCCTAGCATACACACCACCAGCCTCTTCTTTCTTGCAACTAGTGGAGGTACTCAGTTCTAGCCCTGAGCGTTGGCTGTGTGTATGCTGACTACTGTGTTTCAGTATCTGAGGACCATGCATATGTACATTTGTATGTGTGAAGTGAAGCTATAGTGTATTTGCATGTGGCTTTAGCATGTTTCTAATCAGTTACATACATGGCCTATCGTGTGAATGTGGTATGGCGAAATAGAACTGGAATAATGTTCTACTAGTTTTAGTGAGTTCTTAAACTCTGAGTTATTCTCTAAAAGAGGTACTGCTGGCATTCTTCTCCTTGACAATTAGATTTCATCTTTACTTTCAGTATATTTCACAAGACCTTTATACTTTCACCTTCAAGTCTTAGAGGAACAAGTTAAGAGGCAGCGTGTTCATACTCACATGTATGTTCAGAATGCATTCTCTTCTCAAGAATTTCTTGAGTGCTGACTTTTTTCTGCACTGCACCAGGCAGTAGGCATACAAAAATGAGTGTGTTTGTGGGTATCTTATGATGAACATAATGAGCCCTAGGAGTGAATTCAACTCCTGTGAACCCAGTTGGTAAAAACCAAAAATCCAGCTGACCAGGAAGCCTGGTGTAGGAGAGTGATTTTTCCAACATCAGAGTGTAAATCAGAGTTACCTGATGAGCTTGTTAAACCAAGGTTTCTGGACCTCATCCCCAGAATTTCTAGTTTAATATGTTTGGAGTGTGGCTGATAATTTGCATTTCTAACAAGTTTCCAGGTGATGCTGATGCTGATTTTCAGGTCCACGCCTGGAGAATCACTGGTGTATAAAAACCATATCTGCAAAATACTTTTTAGCTGATCAAAGAACTCCCTTCCAGTTCATCCAGTATTTTGGAAGAACCAGTTATCAGAATAATCTGTTGCAATTAGTATCAAATTTTGATCCCTACCCTGTCCTCTATGTAGTTTATGACCATTTAAAAATTATTTTTATTGAGATAAAATTTACACAACATTAAATTCATTATTTTAGCCATGTTAATGTGTAAAATTCAGCCATTTTTAGTATATTCACAGAATTATACAACCATTATCAGTGTCTAATACCAAAATAATTTCATCAGTCCAAAAAGAAACCTGTCTTGATCTGTTTTGTGCTGCTATAACAGAATACCATAGACTGGGTAATTTGCAATGAAAAGGAATTCATTTCTCATGGTTCCAGAGGCTGGGAAGTCCAGAATCAAGGGGCTAGCATCTGGTGAAGGCCTTATCCTCTTGCTGCATCCTCCTGTGGTGGAAGATGGAAAGTCAAGAGAATGTGAGAGAGGGGGCTGAACTTGCTTTTATAACAAACCCACTACTACAATAATGAACCCATTCCTGCAATAATGACATTAATCCATTTAGAAGGGCAGATCCCTCATGACCTAATCACCTCATAAAGGTCCCACCTCACAACAGTGTTGCATTGGGGATCAAGTTTCCAGCACGTGAACTCTGGGGGACACATTTAAACCATAACAAACCCCATACTCATTAAGCAATCACTCTGCATATTCCCCTCCCCAGAGGCCCTGGCAACCACTAGCCTACTTTCTGTTTGTATCGATTTGCCTATTCTGCACATTTCATATAAATGGAATCATGCAATATATGGTGTTTTGTGACTTTTTTTTTTTTTTTTTTTTTGGGACAGAGTCTCACTCTGTTGCCCAGGCTGGAGTGCAGTGGCGTGATCCCGGCTCACTGCAACCTCTGCCTCCCAAGTTCAAGCCATTCTCCTGCCTCAACCTCCTGAGTAGCTGGGATTATAGGTTTACACCAGCACACTTGGCTAATTTTTTTTTCTTTTCCATTTATAGTAGAGAAGAGATTTCACAGGCCGGGCGCGGTGGCTCACGCCTGTAATCCCAGCACTTTGGGAGGCCGAGGCGGGTGGATCACGAGGTCAAGAGATCGAGACCATCCTGGTCAACATAGTGAAACCCCGTCTCTACTAAAAATACAAAAAATCAGCTGGTCATGGTGGCGCGTGCCTGTAATCCCAGCTTCTCAGGAGGCTGAGGCAGGAGAATTGCCTGAACCCAGGAGGCGGAGATTGCGGTGAGCTGAGATCGCACCATTGCACTCCAGCCTGGGTAACAAGAGCGAAACTCCGTCTCAAAAAAAAGAGAAGAGATTTCACCATGTTGGCCAGGCTGGTCTCAAACTCCTCACTTCAAGTGATCTGCCTGCCTTGGCCTCCCAAAGTGCTAGGATTACAAGTGTGAGCCATGCGCCTGGCCAACTGTTTGTTTTTTGTTTTGTTTTGATTTTGTTTGTTTGCTTAGCATATGTTTTCAAGGTTTGTTCATGTTGTTGTATATATCAGTACCTCATTTCTTCTTATGGGCTGAATAATGTTCTATTGTATAGATACATCACATTTTTATCCATTCCTTAGTTTGTGTTGTTTCTACTTTTTGTGGTTATGTATAATGCTGCTGTGAACAGTCACATACAAGTTTGAACATATGTTTTCAATTCTCTTTGTTATATATGTAGGAGTAGCTGGCCTTTCTTATTTCAACTCTCCACTTATAGATTTTTTTCTTTTAAACTATATGAAACCTATTTGCAAGTAGAAGAGAAGTAATATGTATACATTTATTCATTCACCCTTTTGAGCCCACAAAAAATTTATTGGGGACTTACTCTACAGCAGGCACTGTTGTAGGTATTCCGCATGCAGCATTTCATTGATTTATTACAGCAAACATCATGAAGTTATCAATCTTATTTAATACATGAAGAACTAGGGAACCAGAACAGCTTAGTAACTTCCCAGAGCCACCTAGTGAGTAACTTGCTGCATGTGGACTGCTGAACCCAAATCTTTTAACCTGTGCTCTTTCCTTAACTCTACTCTGCCTCTATGAGGAAAATAAAAGGACAATAGATTAAATAAATCATTGTGGAGAACTAGGGCTTTTGGGAAATGTTCTTCTGGACAGCAAATCTCATCCATGACTATTAATGTTAAGGTTGTTCCTAATTCCAACCTGAAAATGCCTTTTCTCTTTATGGCTATTGCCTTAGCCATCTTTTTGTCCTGCATATTAAAATCCAGTTTGCTCTTTAGCCTTTAACTCTTGATTGCCTCCAGTGCTTATTATTCACATATATTTCATTTAAACGTTCTTATTATAAATTCTTACTGACTTTGGTAAAGTGCCATACTTAATATTTACACAAAATGGAATAAGCCCTATTCTCTGGAATTTTAGATTTGGACGGAGTACTGCTTCAAACTGAAAATATTTTAGAAGTTGTCTTAGTCTGTTTGGGCTGCTATAAAAAGATTCCATGAACTGGTTAGCTTATAAGCAATCAACTTATTTCTCACACTTCTGGAGACTGGGAAGTTCAAGATCCAGATGCCGGTAGATCCAGCATGTGGTGAGGGCCCATTACTCATAGTTAGCACCTTCTCACTGCGTCCTCACATGGGGAAAGGTGAAACAAGCTCCCTTGGCCTTTTTTATAAGATCACTAATCCCATTCATTAGTGCTCCACCCTCATGACCTATTCATCAAAAGCCTCACCTCTTAATTCTGTTGCTTTGAGTATTCTATTTTAATGTATGAATTTTGGGGGAATACAAATGTTCACAGCATAGCAGAAGGCACTGAATCCAGTGCTTTTATTTGAAGTGACTTGGGGGTATAATTTTCGGACAAAGCGATCATAGTTTCCAAAGAAGTGATCTTTGAACTGAGATGGGGAGCCAGGCATCTGAGCATCTATGAGCAAATGTTCCAAAGACAGAGAACAGAGGATGTAAAAGCTCTGAGGCAGAAAGCTTGAAGTGTTGCAGAACATTGGCCAGTGTGGCTGGAACCAATGTGACCTTCAAAGTGGGGTGCCCCACACTGGTGGGTACCAAAGACTAAAGCAATGAGATATGGGTGTTGGGAGAAACTGTTCCAATTTCTTTTTTCCATTTATTTTTGTCTTAATACTTTATAATTTCTATTATTTTATATATATTTGCTATTACACATGACACAAATACAATGGCATATATGTATAATTTACAGATATATATAAAGGGAGTATACATTTTAAAATGTTTACTATATTTTTGTAGACTACTGGGCCAGTGGGCAAACAGGAAAGGGGAAGCAGATAAAAAATCCTTTTAGGTCATGCTATGAGGTGGGTTTGTTCTCAGTGCCTTGGGAAAGCATTGGAGGGTTTTGGGCAGGCCAGTGCTGTGTGGAGGAGACGCTGAGAGGCTGGAAGCAGGGAGACTAGTTAAGAAACTATGGCAAAAGCAGATGGGAAATCATGGCAACCTGTACTGGCATCACAGCAGTGGGAAGGAGGAAAGTGGCTGAGCTCCAGATGTATTTTGGAGGTAGAATTACAGGCTTTGCTTATAGGCTGTATATGGAGGGAGAGATGCATTAAGGAAAGGAATAAATAAAAATTAATAAGTCCAGACTTTAGCTTAGGCACTGGATGGTCCATGGTGCCTCCTATTGACATGGAGAAGGTGAGAGGAGGTACCAGAGTAGAGCAGAGGAGCACAGATTGCAAGGTCTGTTAGGAAATGTAAAGTTAGAGATGCCTAAATAGAGGCCAGGCACAGTGACTCATGCCTGTAATTCCAACACTTTGGGAAGCTGAGGCAGACAAATCACTTGAGGTCAGGGGTTTGAGACCAGTCTGGCCAACATGGTAAAACCTCATCACTATTTTTTTAAAAATACAAAAAATTAGCTGTGTGTGGTGGCTGTACCTGTAATCCCAGCTACTCAGGAGGCTGAGGCAGGAGAATCGCTTGAACCCAGGAGTCAGAGGTTGCAGTGAGCCAAAATTGCACCACTGCAGTCCAGCCTAGGTGACACAGCGAAACTCTGTTTCAAAATAAAAAACAAAAAACAAAAACTTAACTAACAACAACAACAACAACAACAAAAACATCTAAGCAGAGATGATGAGCAGGCCTTTGTCCTAGGAGCATGGAACTGAGGGGGGAGGTGGGCACTAACCTTGGTCTTCTGACCCTGCAGCTTATGTTCTTCCCCTTGTTGCAATTGCTCCAAGAGTGAGTTAATGTACATATTTATTTTTATGTATTTTTAAGCAAATACATAATCAGAAATAATCTAGAATCTGTGAGAGTCTTTGACAAAATATTCAAAGTAGATTAAATTTAATTTTTTTTTTTTTTTTTTGAGTCAGAGTCTCGCTCTGTCACCCAGGCTAGAGTGCACTGGCATGATCTCGGCTCACTGCAACCTCTGCCTCCCTGGTTCAAGGGATTTCCCTGCCTCAGCCTCCTGAGTAGCTGGGATTATAGGCACCCACCACCACACCCAGTTAATTTTTGTATTTCTAGTAGAGATGGGGGTTTCACTATGTTGGTCAGGCTGGTCTCGAACTCCTGACCTCATGATCTGCCCGCCTCAGCCTCCCAAAGTGCTAGGATTACAGGTGTAAACCACTACACCCGACCAAATTTAAATATTATTAACCCTCTTTGGATTGAATAAAAAGACTGTGTGAAAGTCAGAAGGTTTACTGAAAAGTTTTCAGGATCCCAGGCTATATTTAATAGTAGTCCTACTGAATGAAGACCATCCTAATCCTCCCCAGAAACACCCCACTATCACATAATAGTTGTCTCCATTTTCCATGAGGCCCTTTTTCAATGGTTTTACTTCTTCCCACCCACAGAGGGTCATGCTCTGCAAAGAGAAATAGTGCCATCAATCTGCTTTCTGAAAATAGTGAGTTCTCCACCAAAAGTGATTTCAGTTGGTCTAAGTTATCCTTGACTCTGTTTACTACTTTAGAAGTCATAGAAAACTGACAAGGTCACCAAAAACTAAATAGATGCAAACTTAGACTATTTTTTAACTTAAATCAGTTGCACAGCCTCAGCACTATTGATATTTAGTGCTGGATACTTCTTTTTTGTTTGTTTGTTTGTTTTTCTTTAGTGCTGGATAATTCTAAATTGTGAGGCACTGCTCTGTGCATTGCAGGACGTTTAACAGCATCCCTGGCCTCTGCCCACTAGATATCAGTAACACTCCCACACACACTGATGACCATCAAAACTATCTCCAGACATTGCCAGATGTCCCTGGGTAGGGAGGGGAGTGGTGCACAAAATCACCCAAGGTGAGAGCCACTGACTTGGAGAATATAGATAATCCTGTATATCAGTGATTGTCATCATCACTTCCATTCCTAAAAACAAATGCCGTAGAATAGGAAAGGATCAGTTACATACACTAGAAGACAGCTGAGTAGTGAGTGAAAAAACCACAGTGAATAGTATAGGCTGTAAAATACTTCCTGTGGCAGGGATATAAGCCTGGGTGATCTGGGGAAAGTAGAGGTTCTAACTTGAAATGGCCTTGGAGCATGTGCTCTCCAGCTGCGGGAAGGAGAGGCAGCCTCCTGCCCTACTCTGGAAGAGTTATGCTACATCTGTGGCTGGACAGACACTCCCATCTGGCCAAAGCACTAAGCAGAGTTTTCAGGAGTAAGGACTCATTGTTGTCACTCTGGCTCACAGTATGTGTTCAATAAATGTTTGTCATAGGCATGAATGAATGAATGAGTGGTCCCTCTCTAAAAAGTATGGTAGTCACAGCTACCTCCTATAGCCCCTGTTTGTCCTCTGGCAGGTCTGGCCAAGAGCATCATCAGTTTCCTGGGACCTCAGCTCTAGGCCCCACCATGCCCAAGAGAAGGCAGGGTGGCACTCAGCCCCTGTCATGGGATCAGGAATGGAGGGACTCTGGATGGGGAGTCTGGATGGATGTGGTGGGTAGGCCTCCTCCAAGACTGAAGTCTTCCCTTGCCTTTACAGAAAACCGGCCCATCATGAAAAGCCTGACCTTGCCAGCCCTCTCCCTGCCCATGAAGCTGGTGAGCCTGGAGGAAGCTCAGGCCCGCAGCCTGGCCACTAACCATCCTGCTCGCAAAGAAAGGAGGGAGAACAGCCTGCCTGAGATTGTCCCTCCCATGGGCACCCTCTTCCACACCGTCCTTGAATTACCAGACAATAAGTAAGTGGCACTATTTTAAATTCTAGATGTGTGGTTGAACAGAAAAGAGGAAGAGAGGTATATAACAATCTCAGGACCAAGATGGCAGTGTGGGTTGGAGGTTATGTCTGGGTAGGAGTATTAAGGAAACATTCCAGAAGAGAAGGGAGCTATCTCTACAAGTCCCTCTCACCAGCGGTTGATGCCTTTATACATGCACTGCCCCAAAGTTAACAAGGCCCCCAATCTCCCTTTGATCAGGAATCCTGTTGGGATAGTGTTATAGGAGTCACATCACGAGTCACAATGGAAATTCCTGACTTTTTAGTGTCGACAAATCAGGCTTGGTGTTTACAAAAGGAAGTTTACTAAAAACAAAAATGTGATCCCCTCCCCTGACCCTCCCTTCCCCACATGATGATACAAAAAGCATAGGGTTGAGTGTTCTGATGGAGGATACCTTGACAAATAGTGTCACTCTAGGCTGATTGCTCTGGGTAAGCAGCACTTGGGGACATGCAAACCTGGCCTCCTTGTAGAGCCTGTCAGAGCCCTCCCTCATCTCTAAAACAAATCAAGCATTGTTTTTATTGATAGAATATTTTCTTTCCTCATTTTTCCCTGTCACTTCCTCTGTTGCCACCTGGGTCTTTACCCACCCACTCACTCACACCCCACGGTAGAAAGAAGCAGGGATTGAACAGGAGTCCTAAATTCTAGGCAGATTGTAGGTGGAGGGGCTGAAAGGCAACCTTTCTGTTGAAGGTGTCATCCCCACTGTTTGGTCAGTGAAAAGAGGTATGAAAACAGACACCTCTTATACAGGCTGCCACCTTGCACTACTAGGAGATGCCAGTCACACTGCATGCTATAGGAGTGGCACATCTGGAACTCATCTGGTGAGAAACCCATCTGTGTCCTGGAAAGTGTGGACTGTGTTTTCTTGAGACTGAGGCCCACTGCTTTTTTCCCTAAATCCCTGGAAAATAAGTCTCATTTCCTCCTGATCCTCCAGGGATCAGGAAGAAGAATACCTTGGAAAGACCATCAAATGCATTTTCTCGGTGCTTTCAACCACACCTGGAGTGCACCATACCCAAAGGTATGCCACCCTATAAAATACTACCCAAGGATAAAAACTTGACAAAATCCAGGCCAAGTACAAAGAAAACCACCACACACTGCAAAGCTATCTCAGAAGGATCATAAAAGCATCCTGGGCCCAGGTACTGTAACTCACACCTGTAATCCCAACACTTTGGGAGGCTAAGGTGGGAGCATCGTGTGAGCCCAGGAATTCGAGACCAGCCTGGGCAAAATAGTAAGACCTAGCCTTTACAAAAAATAAAAATATTAGCTGGGTGTGGTGGCATGTGCCTATAGTCCCAGCTACTCGAGAGGCCGAGGCAGGAGGGTTGCTTGAGCCCAGGAGGTCAAGACTACAGTGAGCGTTGTTTGCACCATTGCACTCCAGCCTGGGTAACAGAGCAAGACCTGTTTCAAAAACAACAACAACAACAACAAAAAATGACAGTGGGCTTGAGATCTGGACTTTCCATGAGGGCCTTGCAGAGAATAGGTCCTTTGTGGGACCCACAAGTTGCAGGTTTTCATCCTGAAGCTTTATACATTCCAATGGCTAGGCAGAGCCACAGCAGGGCAAGGCCTCCATGGTGACCACTGGGGTGCCAGACTCTCTCCACCCAGCCATATGGTCTTTAGTGCTCCCCTTTCCCCATCTCACCAAAGCAGCCTGGTGTGAGGCTAAGCCAGAGACACACCAACTACCCTCTGCATTTCTCTGCAGTAATAATTGACCACACCCAGCAGGCTGCTAATCTCCTCAGCCTCACCAGGCTAGACTCTTTTCCAGGTCGGCTTTCTCTTCCAACCCTTTCAGTCCATGAATGTCTTCCCTAGCCCTCTCTTTGCCTGTGGATGTCCCAGCAGTGTGGCTACAGTGCAGGATCCTAACAGGACCAAGGTCCATATGGTATTTAGTGCTTACTCCTGTATAAAAACTGGCCATGCACGGTGGCTCAGTCCTGTAATCCCAGCACTTGGGAGGCTGAAGCAAGAAAAGATGGCTTGAGGCCAAGTGTACAAGACCAGCCTGGGCAAGCTAGTGAGACCCCCATCTCTACAAATGAATAAATGAATGAAATGAATGAATGGTGTCTTTGAAATTACAGAACAAAAGTTCTTATCAGAATTCCCAGAATTGTGTCTTTGCTTGTGACCTCTGAGATTTCCACCTATCCTTGCCTCTTTTTGGCCCTACCTCTGCCTTTAGTAATACACTTTTACCTCTTGCCCTGGGAAATACAGTTTCCTGTGACTCATGAAATTCTTGCTTGGTCACCTAACCAAGCAAGGCCACTAACCATCTCTAGACAGGGTGAGAATCCAGCTTACCTTGGATTTTAGCGGGAAATTTCCTGAAATATCAGAGCCATTCATAACTAAGGACATAATTGGAATATTTGCTCTCTATTTAAAAGCCCCCTTGAAATGACTAGTTAACAAACTAACCCCTTATGTCTTGTTTTTCTTAGGCGAAAGCTCTCCAGTAAATCAAAGAAGTGGAAGTCAATATTTAACCTGGGACGTTCTGGATCGGACTCCAAATCAAAGCTGAGTAGAAATGGGAGTGTATTTGTGAGAGGACAGAGGCTCTCGGGTAAGAATCAACAGCAATTGTTTTATGATACAAGTATTAGTTTCCTAGCTCTGCTTATTAAGTCTTTGGTTTGATCATATCAAGCACACTAGCTCTGAAAGAGAAACTTGTAAATTAACTAGGGGAAGAGGAGTCCTTTTTAAAAAATGTTTTAGACTTATCAAAAAAAAAGGCAAAACTAGTACACAGAGAACCTGTATACCTTCCGTGCATCTTCTCCCAATGTTAACATCTCGTGTAACTATAATATAGTTATCAAAGCCAAAAATTAATATTGATACAATACTACTAACGCATTTGCAGATCTTATTCATATTTGGCCAGCTGTCCCACTACTGTTCTTTTACTTGTCTAGGATCCATTCCAGGATCCCATATTGCATTTGGTTGTCATGTCTCCTTAACCTCTGCCAATCTAGGACAATTCCTTTGTCTTTTTGACCATGATAATTTGGAAGAGTACTGGCCATTTATTTAGTTGAACTTACCTCAAGGAGAGTTTGTCCAGTGTTTTCTCATGGCTAGACTGAGGTTAGGAATTTTTGCAGAAATCCTACAGAAGTGATGCTGTGCCTGACTCAATGTGGTACATGATGTCAATGTCTTATTGCATGTGAGGAGAACTGTGATCCCTTGGTTAAAGTGCTCTTTGTTATGAGTTTTTGGATCCCTTAATGGTTCTTGGATGTAACAGTTATTCCTATGGTGTTTGCTAGATGATGATTTTCTATTAATTAGAATTCTGCTGTAAAGATCTGTCCCTTTTCCCCTAGCATCATGATTTTTAAAGTAGGATGCTGCCCCATGGGACTTATTTCTGAGTAGTGAATAGAAATTGATACAGGAAGGAACTGAGGGAGCCGTATATAATGGGTAATTTAACCAGTGCAGATGAATATGATGTCAGAAAAGAGAAGCCCAAGAAAAATTTTCATAATGATCTTTAGTGTTATAGATTGAAAGTATGATTAAAATGGAGGCAATAGTTATGAAACCAAGGTGTAAAATATAAATGTACAAATGCAGTGAACAAACTTTGTTTGGATCCTGGTTAAAGAGAGAGAGAGAGAGAAAGAGAGAGAGAGAGGGAGCGGTGATGGAGCACAATGGCATATGCCTATAATCCCAAAACTTTGGGAGGCTGAGGTGGGCAGATCACTTGAGCCCAGGAGTTCAAGACCAGGCTGAGGAACACGGTGAAACCCCAGCTCTAGAAAACAAAAACAAAAAAAGCTACAAAAGATAATTTGGGGAACAAAGAGGGAAAATGTGGATATAGATTGGCTATTAAATCACAAATTTTCATAGTGTGCTAATGGTTCTTAGGAGACATATGCTAAAATTAATATATTTAAGGATGAAGCAGAAAGTATCTTATTGATACTTTCAAATAAGTCAGCAAATTATAGGTAGGTAGATAAATATCAGTACAAAAATAGATAATGCAAATATATGTCAAAAGGTCAATAATTATCAAAACTAGGTGGTAGGTTTCTAAATGTTGAAATGTTTAATAGAGATGTGGGGGAAACATTAATTCCTATAGGAAAACTGTGAGAATATTTTTAAGGTCTTTCCTCAAACCTGGTGATAATCTAATTACATGCCAAGAATCAGAAAGTTCAGATGTTAGAAATCTTATGCTTGCTTGTTAGAGTAAGGAGTGGTGTCACAGTAGAGCAGTTTCAACGATTTAGGCTGTAAATAATGACAAATCAATTCAATCAACTTATGCAATGAGGGGATTCACTGGCTTCTGCAATTAACACCCAAATACAGGGAAGGCTCCAGGGATGGTTTAATTCAGGGGCTCTGTCTCCATTTCTCTGTGTTTTCCCCAGCTGTGCCCTCCCCTTTGGATCAGCTTTACTCCCACACTGGCTTCCTTTGCTGTGGCAAAGTGGCTGTAGTAGTTCCAGGCTTTTCCACCGACTATTCCACTAGGCCCAGAGGGAGAAAGAATATTTCTGGTAGCTTGTTCCTAAGAGCAGGGACCCTTCTTTCCAGAAGGCTCCATCAAAATTCCCCTTGTCTCTGTATCCTTCACTGAGCCACACAGTTCAGTCCCTGTTGTCAAGGATGTGCCTTATGCTGAGTGGCTGCGGCCTGGGTTCCTGAGCCAACCCCTGGCATGAGGAATAGCACTCACACCCAAGAAGTGCAAGAGCTCTGTGCAAAGGACAGAAGGGAAATGGATTCTGGGTATGCATCCATAATCAATTCATGGCAAAACTCAGCTTGCATAAAATGGAAAGATAGCCTGAATTAAGAGGACAGATTGCCACAAGTATGGCAAGACAGATACAAATCAGAAAATAGGATTCTTAAGGGAGAAACTGGGGAGAAGAGTACCTAACCAGAAACTCTTAATCTATAAAAAGAGATTTGCTTAAGCACGTCAGAGAGAATTTCAGTTGCAGAATCAGTGGTATAGCCATGAAAGAGGTTCACCAATAACGAAAAGTCAAAAAACAATAAAACAAAACAAAAGAACAAAAAGGAAATAAGTGGTTTCCTTTGATCTTGATTTAAGAAGATTTCTACTCCTGTGAGGTTTTCAGAAAGAACAAGTCCCAAACACTGGATCAAATGGTGGTAAACTCACAGAACATGCAAGGTGTCCCTGGCCAGGGTTTCTCACACAGCTGGACCTCAGAATCGCCCACAGGGTGATCACACCACAGCAATTTTTCCTCAGGAGGTCTGTGGTGAAGTCTGAGTATTGGTAATTTTCTGAAAGCTCCCCAGGTGATTCTGATATGCAGCAAGGGTTGAAAGTCACTGGCTTATGATCTTATGAACAAACTAATCAGATCTTCACTAACTGATGTGAGAGTGAAATTCAAGAACTGTCAGTGTCAATATAAGTGGTTCCCTGTGGCTTTAACTATTGTCTGAAGTGGTTTCTTTTTACTAGAAGAATATTGCTGGCAACTCTAGAAAATAAAGATAAATAGGCTTTATGGTCATAACTTTAGTGGAATCTGTGATTAAATTTAGGCCACTGAAGCCTGTAACAAATGTAATCCACCAGTGTGGCCTCTGTAAGTGGCACATGAGCTTGCTGTTGAAATATGCATGTGAAAAGGGGAGCCAGTAAATTATCATACGTAAATAATATGCTTTAAAATCTCATAACTAAAGATACTTAGGACTTCGTGACCAAAACACCAAAAGCATTGGCAACAAAAGCCAAAGTAGACAAATTGGACCTAATTAAACTCCAGAGCTTCTGTACAGCAAAAGAAACAATCATTAGAGTGAACTGGCAACCAACAGAATGGGAAAAACTTTTTGCAATCCACCCATCTGACAAAGGGCTAATATCCAGAATCTACAAAGAACTAAAACAGATTTATAAGAAAAAAACAACAAACCCATCCAAAAGCGGGCAAAGGATATGGACATTTTTCAAAAGAAGACATATATGAGGCCAACGAACATGAAAAAATGCTCATCATCACTGATTATTAGAGAAATGCATTATTAGAGAAATGCAAATCAAAACCACATTGAGATACCACACCAGTTACAATAGCAATCATTAAAAAATCTGGAGAAAGTAGACGCTGGAGAGGATGTGGAGAAGTAGGAACACTTTTACACTGTTGGTAGGAGTGTAAACTAGTTCAACCATTGTGGAAGACAGTGTGGCTCTTCCTCAAGGACCTAGAAATAGAAATTTCATTTGACCCAGCAATCCCATTATTGGGTGTATACCCAAAGGATTTTAAATCATTCTATTATAAAGACACATTCACACGTATGTTCATAGCAGCACTATTTACAATAGCAAAGACCTGGAACCAACCCAAATGCCCATTGACGATAGACTGGACAAGGAAAATGTGGCCCATATGGAATACTATGCAGCCATAAAAAATGATGAGTTTGTGTCCTTTGTAGGGACATGGATTAATCTGGAAACCATCATTCTCAGCAAATTGACACAAGAACAGAAAATCAAATATCGCATATTCTCACTCATAGGCAGGTATTGAACAATGAGAACACATGGACACAGAGAGGGGAGCATCACACACTGTTGGGGGGGGCAAGGGAGGGACAGTGGGGGGGGTGGTGAGGTTGGGAGGGATAACATGGGGAGAAATGCCAGATGTAGGTGACGGGGGGATGGAGGCAACAAACCACATTGCCATGTGCGTGCCTATGCAATAATCCTGCATGATCTGCACATGTACCCCAGAACCTAAAGTACAATTTTAAAAATTTAAAAATAAAATAAATAAAAAATTAATTCACCATGAATAGTATTGGGATTTTTGGGGGTAGGGAGGAGCAGGTGAAGGGGAGTTTAACCATATCTAGAATATGAAACAGAGATAAGAAATAAAATATAGAAAAAATGAACTATTGACTAAGATGCATAAATAATTAGAGCCTCCCAGATATGGATATTTTAATTGATTCAATTTAAGCTTTTTGTACATTATTAAAGAGAAAGAAGAGTTCAGGGCATCCTCCAAAATGAACTATGAGCAGAGAAATCTCAAAGCCATATGGCTATAGCAGCTCACCTTTGAGTAATGCAGCTAAGAAAGGGGACTTGGGAACACAAAGGCTGCCAGAAAACTGGGGCTGTGCCTCTGTAAGGCCAGGCCAAAGTCCCAGACAGAAAAATGTAATCTAAATATAGTCATAAGCCACAGGGGCCTGAGCTCTTAGTTACTATCCAGAAAGGGGGCCAGGGAATGCTTGGGGACTGTCCCCCAAGCCACAGCTCTGATGTGCTGCTGTGCTCAGCAAGGCCACAAGGAAGTACATCATGAGAAAGAGGCTTCAACACCAAAGGTGGACACTGATGGACCTACAGACAGAGCTGCTGCCTGGCCTATGTGAGACAGTCGGGGCACCTGGTCACTGCCCGTCAAGGTCGACACGTGGAAACCAGAGAAATACTAGAAATACAGCTCCTGGAAAATAAACGCAATGCATGTCCTAGAATATACAAAGTGATGCTGACCAGGTAGTTTTAGGACAGTAAAACAATTTATAGGTTTGTGGAAAGAGCAGATCTTCAAAGGATAAGAACTCTGGGGCACATTGGAAGTGAGGGGGTAAAAGGTGTTCTCTGCCTGTGCCAAGGATTTGTGTGGCGATGGCTGGGCATCCCACAGCGGGCCCCAGAAAGAGAGAAGCCCCAAGATGGGAGACCAAAAGGGACTAGTTCAGAACCTCCCTGCAGGAGCGGGTTTGGATCAAGGAGGAAGAACAGGCGATCTTTAAATGAAAGACAAAAGCAGGCTTGAGTTACGGCTCAGTTTTGGTTAAGGCCAACTCTAACTGTTTCTCCTAGAACCTTCTCCTGTCTTCCCCTTTGTTGCTGAGCCCTGATCCATCCTGAAGAGCAGCAGCAACAACAATAAACAATTGTTACTTTTTAATGAGTACTTACTCTATTGCAGATTAGTACAGTCTAATTACTTTATAGTCATTACCCATTTAATCCTCACAACAGCTCTTATTTTTTCTCATTTTATACATGACAAAACTAGAGTTTAGAAAAGTTTAGCTGTCACTTTGGGAGGCCAAGGCAGGAGGACTGCTTGAGTCTAGGAGTTTGAGACCAGTCTGGGCAATATAGTGAGACCCTGTTTCTAAAAAAATTTTTTTTTTAATTAGCTGGATTTGTTGGTGAGTTCCTGTAGTCCTAGCTACTCCAGAGGCCAGGGCAGGAAGATTGCTGGAGCACAGGAGGTTGAGGCTGCAGTGAGCTTATGATCACTCTACCACACTGCAGCCCGGGCAACAGAATGAGACCCTGTCTAAAAAAAAAAAAAACAGTGTAGCTGCTTGTCTGGGGTCACACAGCCCAAAAGTGGCAGAGCTGAAATTCAAACCCAGATGTTTCTGAATTCAGAGTTACCTTAGGGGCCACTAGTCCTGGGCCTCCTGCTTCCCCTCCTGGCAAGCTCGACCTAGAAGGAACTACCCTTCAGCCAGTTGTGTTCCCTGAAAAGAGACGGCATTTGTGAATGCATCTATTTAATGCTATGCCTCGAATAAGTTTTTAGTCATTTAAACCACACTCTTCCAAAAATGTGCTAAGGTGGCTTACAAAGATACATGGCGCACACCCAGTCACAGAGTAGGTGTGCAAAAAAGGTTTTGTTGGGATCTGTTCCAGGTTGAGGCTAGTGGGTGAGATCACTGGGTAGCACCCAGGCTGCAGGCCTCAAGGAACAGAGCTGCACCTGGCAGAAACCTAACTCCAGTTCCCTTGGGCCCTCTCACCGGCTGTACCAAATTTGCAGGAACCAAGATATAGTCTCAGCTCTCTGCTCTCTGGCCTGCTGAATACAAAGAGTTGCCTGGAGCCCCATGCATTCTACCCCTGGATTCATCTTTGAATACTTTTTGTACAATAAAATTGGGTTCAAGACTCATTTGCTATAAGCTTTTTCACAAAATTTCAATTTACCTTTATTATTACATAATAATAAAACTTTATAAATGCCCTGATTTTATTAGATCTATCCCATTAAGAAAGTAGGAGCATCTAGGGTGGGGAAGAGGAATGTTTCAAAGGAGATCAATTATACTTGAAAAACTTTCCTAAAGAATTTTGTCTTGTGTACTTACAGACTGTCCTATTTTTCCAAATGCTCTCTCTCAATACGCGTTCATCAAGGATATTTTTTCTTTTGTCTTTAGTGGAAAAGGCTACTATCCGACCAGCTAAAAGCATGGACTCACTGTGTTCAGTGCCTGTGGAAGGTAAGATTTTTACAAGTAGTTTCTGAGTTGGAGATTACAATTAGGAGGCTGGAGCTCACTTGCCTTTACAAACTGCCATGCCTACTTCTCTGTAGTCATGATTACACACAATTATCTAGTTCTAAATCCCTCCCTGACCTTCCCAAACTCAAGGGGTTCACATAGCCCCATAACCTCCCCTACCTTACTCCATGGTTAGGCCTAAACAGCCATCTTCTGCCTAGCCTTCCTCTAGACACAACTGGAGTCCCTGGCTACTTTTCATTCAAACCTGAACCAGGTAAAAGGTCAAGACAGAAGAGGCTTCCCCTTTGTGCAGAAGAAAAGAGCCAAGCATTGATTTATGCCCTATGGTTTTATCCCTAGAGGCCCATGTGTCTTGAATTTGGCTGTTTCCATATGCATTCGCCTCCTAGTTTTTGTGTCAAGTCATGATTTTGAATTGGTAGGTTTATTATGTATTCATTCATTCATTCATTCTATATCACTAAACATTAATTAGGCACCAGCTATGTATCAGCCCTGTGCAAACCACAGTATCCTTTGTTGGAACAGATGTGTGTGCAGTTGCACATGACGTAATACTCATCACCAAAATAACACATAACATTTGTTCTCATAGATCTATCCTTCAGGACTGACTTGCCTGTATCTCTTCCTTTTTTTTCTGTTAAGTAACCAACGAGCACCATTACAAGTTACCAGGCAAAGGACTTGTCTGGCAACAGACTGTTAAAACTCCTCTATACTTATCCCATGACCCCAGTCCCTATAATACAAGATAATTTTCTCTTTCAAAAATGGGTCAAACCAAAACAATACAGGAAATCTTTAGAACAACATTTTAAAAATAATTCTAAACCTTGGCCAGGTGTGGTGGCTCACACCTATAATCCCAGCCCTTTGGGAGGGTGAGGCAGGTGGATCACTTGAGGCCAGAAGTTTGGGACCAGCCTGGCCAACATGGGTAAACCCTGTCTCTACAAAAAAAATACAAGAAATTAGCCAGGCGTGGTGATACATGCCTATAATCCTAGCTACTCAGGAGGCCGAGGCACAAAAATGGCTTGAACTCTGAAGGCAGAGGCTGAGGCACAAGAATTGCTTGAACCAGGAGGCAGAGGGTACAGTGAGCCCAGATTGCACCACTGCTCTTCAGCCTGTCTCAAAAAATAACAATTAATAATAACAATAATTCTAAACCTGTATAATACTCAGTGAGATCTTCTTAAGTTAATTTGATGCTTTCAGCATTTTCTTACTTTTATATTCATTCATTTGATTTGGTTTGGAAACTTCTTGGGCAGTTCTTACCCAGTTTTGCAGGAGTTAATATTTCAAAATATAGGTCATTATATACGTGACATATGAGTATTGGACAGATCATCTGACTGCTGAGTCTCTTGTGTTCTTGTGTATTAAAGGAGATCATTACACTTCCTTACAGAGTGGTCATAAGAATTTTAAGCATAGAGTTATGTAAGGTGCCCAGTATAGGGCTTAGTACCAAGTTAGAAATTATTTTCTAAATCCCTGGCAACTCACATATCATCTCCAAGCTTATTTACTTCCCACATAGACTTTCTCTTCTTTGCTTTCATTTCTAAGTCAGTCAAGAACTTGGGCTGGGCGCAGTAGCACACGCCTGTAATCCCAGCACTTTGGGAGGCCAAGGTGGATGGATCACCTGAGGTCAGGAGTTTGAGACCAGCCTGGCCAACATGGTGAAACCCCTGTCTACCAAACATACAAAAATTAGCCAGGCGTGGTGGCAGGTGCCTGAATTCCCAGCTGCTTGGGAGGCTGAGGCAAGAGAATCACTTGAACCTGGGAGGTGGGGGTTGCATTGAGTGGAGATCATGCCACTGCACTCCAGCCTGGGCAACAGAGCCAGAATTCATTTCAGGGAAAAAAAAAAACTCACTCCTCACAATTGTGCCTTCTAATGTTTAGTTAATTTACATTTCTAGTTTCTCATCCTCTGAATCAACAGGAAGAAGCCTGATAAAAGGTGGGAAAGGTCTAGTTGATAACAGCATTTGTGTCCTTGCTGGGAAATCAAAACCCCCTGTCTGGGTCCATCTGCCAGAGAAAACTTAAAACAATAAGTTTTTAAGGTTCTAAAATAAGACAAGATTCTGTTTATTACTCCTTTTTGTCGTCTTCATTTTGAGCAAACATCATCTTACTGCCTCGCATCTGTCCCTTTTTTTTTTTTTTTCATGATCTACATTGAGTGCCTGGTAGATGATGGCTCTGTTGAGCAACTTTAGCAGCAATCTTTCTTTGAAAACTGCTCTACCTGCAAATTTTAAAAGTGATCTGTATGGTATGACAGCAAATGGTCCTACAAGAGCATCATGCTAAAATTCTGTGCATATGAGGAAGTGCTTTCTCTTTTGTCATCCAGATGTTACCTTTTTCTGGGCGGTTATGCCCCTGTTAGAATGCTGTGCCTCTCTAGTATTCAAATGTGATGTGCCTGCCCTAACTGGAAGGCCTGCCATTGCATATGTGCCCAGGCTGCTGACCATGCACTTGTTCTTTTTTACTAGGAAAAGAAGCCAAGGGAAATTTCAATCGAACAGTTACCACCGGTGGATTTTTCATACCAGCAACAAAAATGCACTCCACTGGCACCGGCAGCTCATGTGACCTCAGCAATCAGGAGGGCGAATGGGGCCAGGAGGGGATGCCTCCGGGGGCTGAGGGTGGCTTCGATGTGAGCACCGATCGCGGCCATCTTCAGGGCGCTCAGACCCGGCCCCCACCAGAACAGCTGAAGGTTTTCCGGCCTGTTGAGGATCCCGAGGGCGAGCAAACAGCCCCAAAGATGCTGGGTATGTTCTACACTTCGAACGACAGCCCCAGCAAATCCGTCTTTACCAGCAGCCTCTTCCAGATGGAGCCCTCGCCGCGTCACCAGCGCAAGGCGCTGAACATCTCCGAGCCCTTTGCGGTGTCCGTGCCGCTCCGCGTGTCCGCCGTCATCAGCACCAACAGCACGCCGTGCAGAACACCCCCGAAGGAGCTGCAGTCTCTTTCCAGCCTAGAGGAGTTTTCTTTTCATGGGTCAGAGAGCGGAGGCTGGCCAGAAGACGAGAAGCCACTGGGAGCTGAGACTGCTACAGGTAAAGTAGGGGAGAGAGGGTCTCTTTCCATTGCAGGGGAGAAAAACCACACTTAAATTTGCTTCAAGTTTGCAAAGCAATATGGTGAGGTGGTTAAGTTTGTGGGCTCTAGAGCCAGACTGGGTACAAATGCAGGCTCTGCCATTTCACTGCGTGATCTTCAGCAGGTTAATGTAACCACTCTGTGCCTCAGTTTCTTAATCTGTAAAGTGGGAATAATTATGTTAATAATACCTTTTCCATAAGTTTGTTGTAAATATTAAATTATTTAAGACATATGAAACTCTCAGAACAGTGTTTACATATAATAAATGTTACCTGTTATTTTATTCACTTATAGAGTGAGAATGCAGGAGAAAAACTCAAAATGGAATGCAGAGCTGCTGAGCTGGAATTGGGGATTCAATTCTTCCAGTCTCCTTCTCTGTCCATCCACCCATCCTCGTTTCTACTTTACATTTGCAAACAACATGGCTAGCAAACATAGCAACAAGAAAGAGCATCCCTCTCCCAATTTCCTTATATCAAATGCTGGAAGGATTCTGATTGGACCTGTCTGAGCCATATGCCCAGCCTTGAACCAATCACTGTTGCCCTGTCCAATTCTGAGATTGGCCAGACTTGAATCTTTAGGTGTGTCTGGAGTGAGGAGGGGTTCTTTGATCAACAAGCAAACCTGAGCCACATAAAATGGAAGTATTGAGAACCCCGAAGGAAAGGATGGCTGACAGTCAAACCAACAAATGTTTATTATGATTTAGGAACATTTATTTTCAATTAATACTAGTCATTTTCAGCACCCATTAGCTTGTCAGTCACTCTCCTAAGTGTCCTGCAAATATTATCTCATTTCTCCCCTCTATCCTGTGATATAAATAGTCACTATTATCCCCATTTCCTTAAAGAGGAATAGGTTATTGCCCAATCACTCATACCAAGGAAGTGGAAAAACCAGGATTTTAATTCAGACATTTAAAAAATCCATGCTTGTTACACTGTACCACACTCCCTCCTGTGTTCACTATGGGCTGTGGAGTTACAAAGATTGTTAAGACATGATCCCTTCCCCACAGTGAGCTCACAAACTAAGAAGGGAAATTGAAATTCTGCACTGAAGTTCAGCACAGGGTCTACCTGTGGAAGCAGCATAGGAGCCTCCTCAGGATTTTTGGAATTAGGGAGGGCTTAGATACCCAAAGCACCATGAAAGAGGTGTTCATAACAGATGGCAAGGGCATGAAGGAGAGGCAGTTCTCTCAGGAGGATTCCAGGAAGATTTAGAAGAGGTGACATTTGGACTGAGCCTTCATAAATGGGTAGTGTGTCTCCATACAGAAAAGATGAGAAAGGGCTTTCTGGGCTTAGAGGCAGCTACATGTTGTGGGATGTATGCACGTTTTGGAACCCAGCTGAGCTGATTCGGATGCTAGCTTTACTGCTTTTTGCTATTTTGGCAGTGAGAGATTTCGGAGCCTGTTTCTCATCTGCAAAGCAGAGGAGGCTCCTATCCCAAAGGCTGTAATGAGGTCTGAATGGGAAAATGCCCATAAAATACCTGTCCATGGACTGACTCACAGAAGATGTGAGTAAATGTTAGTCCTTTTCCTTGCAGGATGGGTGCACAGATGAGCAAATCTCAGGGGCATCAAGTCATACCTTGTCTGGAAAATGGTGTCATGGGCTGGTGTGGGTGCAGCAGGATGAGGGATAGGAGAGAAAGTAAAGGTTTTGAGGAAAACAGTGGTTCCAAAGGCTTTTGTGAGATTTGTTATCCTCTCTAAAAGAGTGGGTCCCTGGACCCCAGTAGGTCTTTAAGAGACGGTCTGTTATCCTTGCATAGGTTAAATACTACGTATGCCATTTTATATCAGGGACTTGAGCACACATGGATTTTTGTATTGGGGGGAGGTCCTGGAACCAATTGCCCCATGGATACCTACCGTTTTTAACTTGTGAATTCTGTAAATATTTTACATATTCAAAGATAAAATTGAATTTCAAGAAATAAGCCTACAAAGTGATGGGCAAAAGGAAATCCACTGTTGTGAATTCTGAAGCATTTTTAGTTCAGACATCAGGATGCTGTCACTAGATCTGAGTCGCTGGGCTGGCCTGTGGTGAGATACCTCAGAGTTAAGATACCAGTGTAACCAATGGCAATGAGTAGTTTAGTCTTAACCAATCTTAACCAACAAACTTTTCTGAGCTTGTTCCATATGCCAGACACTATGCTATATGCTTTGCCTCCATTGTTTACTTTATCCTTACATCGGCCCAAAAGCAAGTATTATGATGCCTTTGTACCAAGATTACAAGATTCATTGAGAAATTAGCATTTGAACCCAGGTTTGTTTCTTTCTTTCCTTTCTTTCCTTTCTTTCTTTTCTTTTCTTTCTTTCTTTTCCTTCTTTCCTTTCCTTTCTTTCCTTCTTTCTTTCCTTCTTTCTTCTTTCTTTCTCTCTCTCTTCTTTCTTTCTTTCTTTCTTTCTTTCTTTCTTTCTTCTTTCTTTCTTTCTTTCTTTCTTTCTTTCTTTTTCTTTCTTCTTTCTTTCTTTCTTTCTTTCTTTCTTCTTTTCTTTCTTTTTCTTTCTTTCTTTCTTTCTTTTGAGACAGAGTTTCACTCTTGTTGCCCAGGCCGGAGTGCAATGGCACGATCTCAGCTCATGGCAACCACCACCTCCCAGGTTCAAGTGATTCTCCTGCCTCAGCCTCCTGAGTAGCTGGGATTACAGGCATGTGCCACCATGCCTCAGTAATTTTGTATTTTTTTTTAAATAGAGGTGGGGTTTCTCCATGTTGGTCAGGCTGATCTCAAACTCCTGACCTCAGGTGATCTGCCCACTTCAGCCGCCCAAACTGCTGGGATTACAGGCGTGAGGTACCGTGCCTGGTCAAACCCAGGTTCCTTAATACCACTGTAAATGGTAATTTTATTGAGGGCCTGCTATGTGCTGAGCACAGTCCTGGGTACTTGCTTAGTCTTTAATCCACAGTGTGGAAACAGCTTTATGCAATGAAACAGGGCCTTCCTTCATGCAAAGCAATAGAGGCCAAACTTGAGATCTGCCTGCCTCTTCCTGATATCATAGACATTTAAGAGCAGAGCTTAATTACTTTGGATAGATCCAAATTGACAGGAGATAACACCTTGGAAGAGTTACACAGGAAACTGTTAATCATAAGACATCTTTGCAGCAAGATGTGAATAATAGAGTTTTGTGATGTTAATGGACTTCTCAGAGTCTATTTATTTGAGAAGTGAGAGACTGGACTAGAGCATGGGTTCTCAATTTCAGCACTGCTGACATTTTAGACTGGATAAGTCTTTGTTGTGGGACAGGTTCCGTACACTGGAGGATATTTAGCAGCTTCCTTGTGTAGGGTCCACTGCCACATTGGGTGCCAGATATAGAGTCCAGCCCTACAGGATTCTGTGAGCCCATCCCAGGTGGTGCGGAGATGAGAAATTGTAGAAATAAAAGACACAAGACACAGAGATAAAGAAAAGAGAGTTTGGGCCCAGATGTCCACTGCTACTCAAATCGCGGAGACCAGCAGTGGCCCCCAATGCCAAGACGCTCTCACTTTTATTAAGTTGCAAATCTGGGGGCAGGGTAGGTAGGGTGTGGCAGTGATAGGGTCAAGTACATCACATGTCATTCAGGGCCTCAGGAGTTTCTGGCACCTGAAGTAAGGTAAGGAGCATAATGCATCAGCACTTTTTCCATATTTATCAAGAAAGAACAAAAACATTAAGATTTATATTACTATTACTGATTATCTTTTCAAAAAAAAAAAAAAAAAAAAAGAAAGGAACCAGGTGGAGAAGCAGAACATGAGAGTAAACATGGAACGTGACCGCTGAAGCACAGCATCACATAGAGACAGTTATGCCCCTGGATGGCTGCGGGTGTCCCTGACAGCTGTCAGGCCTTACCACAAGAGTCTGGAGAAGCGGAGTTTTCTCCAGACTTCCCCAGGAAGGAGATGTCTCAGTCATTTTGGACATGTCCTTCCCTAGCTGGCTAAACAGCGGGCACTTTCCCAGCGCTGGCGCTGCTGCACAGCCAAGGCGCCCTCCAGCAGCCCTTATACGGGTGTGACAGAGGGCTTAAAGCATCTTGCCTTAGTGTCATTCATTTACAGTGTCACCCCAGGTTCACACTTCTGACCTGAGAGGCATTAGTAAAAGAATTAGGATAACCTGTGAATAATAACTAATACGGTTATATTTCTAGTTACTTTCTTCTTCATTATTTATATGGAAATAGGCTGAGGTCTTTTGCTCCTGCCTCGGCGCTTATGGGATCTCCTCCCTACATCCTTGGCTTCTATCCACTAGATGCCAGTTGCATTTACCCCTCCCCGATGTTGTGACAAACAAAAAATGTCTCCAGACGTTGCCAAATATCCACTGAAAGAATAAAAAAGTAGGAGCAAGATAGCCCCTGCTTGAGAACCACTGGACTAGGTGATCTTCGAGGTCCCTTCCCTCTCTGACAATCTGTAACTCTGGCAACTGAGGCCAGGACATTGCTAGGAGAAAAGAGTAAATGTAAGAAGCACTGAGCTAGGGGATTTCCCTCCATCCTTCTGAAGCAGGGCCAGGAGACAGGACAGTGACTGTGTTGGGAACAGTTTCTCTTGAAGTGAAGTCTCCTTTAACTGATAACTCCTATCTTCACTGCAGCTTCTGTACTTAAGAAGGCAGCTCTTGAAGATGCCAAGCCAGTACCTGAAGCACCTTGGACAGTGGAATGCAGCAAAGGCCTGTCCGAGGAGCTAGGCACCCACCTAGAGGAGAATAAAACCCCAGAAAGCTCCTTGGGCTCTCAACATTTAAGTGAATTAGAGAAGAGGCCAAATCCGGAGAATGTGGTGGAAGAGGGACAAGAGGCTGACCAGGTGGGATCCAGCACCCTGCAGGAGAGCCCTGGGGCCAGAGCCGAAGCTGTGATTCTCCATGAGATGGTAAGGTGCACTCTCTGCCTGCTCTAACCAGGTGGAGTTCTTTTTTCCCAAGGGCTCTTGGTACAATTTAAAGTAGATTGAAAAAAAATTTTCTTTGAAAACTCGGTTTCTGCCAAAGGGACTTTAAGAGACAAACTTATAATGAAGATCTGAGATTTGTTTTGCAGTAGACTTTACAGAAGTCCTGCAGTGATGGGGAAACGTCCTGCTCAGATTCCATAGGATAGACTGAACTCTAAATATTTCTGACCTGAGGTCACCATAAGCCAGTAACATGTCCTTGGAATGCAATAACATTCAATCCCAGAAGCAGCATGAGACCTGCTTATCATACCCCAGTCCCAAATACCATGATCATTCACAGAGTTCAGCCTTCTTCCAAACATCCTGGATGGGCAGTTGTCTATACTTATTTCCAAAACCAGAAATATTTCCTCCTGTGGCCTCTGGAGAAGTTAAAATGCAATGCTGGAACTGACTAAACCTTGTCCACTTTTTACAGGTGGAATTTTCCAAGAAGGTTTTTATGGGATGTTCTTCCATAGAGGGTGTGACGAGGTTTTCCAGGGATACCCAAAAAGGAGTCCTGCATTTGGGAGGCAGCTCTGTAATCAGAGGAGGGTCCCAGAAAGGAGGGTGCCTTTGAACTTGCTTCCAGAGTCTTGGTTTTCAGGATGCGCACAAAAGAACCATGTGCTGAGAGTTAGGGCACAGTGGGATGCCATGGCATCCTCAGAATGGCTCAGTCTCTATAAGATGTGTTTGCATTTGTAGAAGGGGAAAGATGAAGAGATTCATATGGCAATTGATTGAATTCTTATGGAGAAGACCCTGTAAGAATGAATGGCATTGCTTTAAGAAGCAGGTCAGTTAGTGCTGGAAAGAGAGCCAGGTGGATTCGAGGGAACAAGTAAAGGCATCAATTCATTCATTCATTCAAAACATGTATTTAACTTGAACTTTTTGCCAGGCACTGGCATCACTGTAGTGATGCCAGCCTTCTAGTGAACCTGAACTTAAATGAAACCAGGGTTTTTGTTTGTTTTATAAGCAACAGTGCACAGAGATTAAGTACTTATGTACCAGTGTAGACAGAACTGGATTTCAATCCTGATGTGCTGCTATATGACTTAGGTAAATTGTTTACTCTATTTGAACCTAGACCTCTCATCTATAAAATGGAAATAATTATAGTAGTGTTTATCTCCTAGAGTGGTTGGGAAAATTACAAAAGTTACAGTTAAAGAATGTGATGGTGCATGGTGAGCACTCACACAGCCACAGGTATTATGGTGCTGCATCCTTTATTTGCTGAGCTGGCTCAGGCTGGCGCTGCAAGTCCCTTCCCTCTCACTGGAAACACTGATGTCGGCACCCAGAGTACTTGGTTCTAAGACAATCAGTTTATTGATGTTTTTCAGGATGAAGATGATCTGGCCAATGCCCTGATCTGGCCCGAGATTCAACAGGAGTTGAAAATCATTGAATCTGAGGAGGAGCTCTCATCGTTGCCACCACCTGCTCTGAAGACCAGCCCAATTCAGCCTGTTCTTGAGTCGAGCCTGGGGCCCTTTGCTCCCCCAGAGCCTCCTCGGAGCTTACCTTGTAGCTCCTTGTCTTCTTCAGGCTCCGCCCCTCTGGAGGTGTGGACTAGGGACCCAGCCAATCAGAGCACACAGGGGGCTTCCACAGTAGCCAATAGAGAGAAACTGGAGCTTGAGCAGGGCGTGCATCCAAACCTCGCCAGCCTGGCTCCTCTGGAAATAGTTGCGTTTGAGACCGCGTCTCCTCAAGCAACAGGAAAAGTGGGAGGCCCAGGGAATCTGTCTCCTTCAGTCCCACCTGCTGCTCCCCCTCCAACTCCTCTGGAGGAGGCACCTCCAGTCCTGCTTTCAAAGGGCAGCCCGGAGAGAGAAGACTCATCCAGGAAATTGGGGACATATCCCTACATAGACCAGCGGGAGTCCCAAAACAGCCCTAGGATCTCTAGCCCCTGTCAGGGAGAGGAGGCCACCCCAAGACAAAATGACAAGCAAAATTCAAAGAATGCTGCTTCTGAGGGGAAAAGATGTGGTTTTCCAAGCCCAACCAGGGAGGCTGAGATCACCTCACAAGGAGAGGAAGATGTAGCCCATTCAGTACAGGAGCCTTCAGACTGTGACGAAGATGACACTGTGACAGACATTGCCCAGCATGGCCTGGAGATGGTGGAGCCCTGGGAGGAGCCCCAGTGGGTGACCAGTCCCCTTCACTCCCCCACCCTGAAAGATGTGCATGAGACCCAGGTACAGGGCCTTCAGGGTCACCGATTGGAGAAGAGGCTTTCCCACAGGCCCAGCCTTCGTCAGAGCCATTCTCTAGATAGCAAACCCCCGGTTAAAAGCCAGTGGACTCTCGAGGTTCCCTCCTCCAGCAGCTGTGCTAATCTTGAAACAGACAGGAATTCTGACCCTCTGCAGCCCCAGACACCCAGGAGAGAGATTACTGGATGGGATGAGAAAGCCCTGAGGTCCTTCAGAGAGTTCTCTGGCCTCAAAGGGGCAGAGGCTCTTCCCAACCAGAAGGGACCAAGTGGTATGCAAACCAAGCCAGCAGAAACCAGCCCCATCAGCCTAGCACAGGGAAAGGATCTGGGGACACACCTGGGGCACAGCAGTCCACAGATTAGGCAGGGTGGTGTTCCTGGGCCAGAGAGCAGCAAGGAGAATTCACCCAGCATACAGGACAGCCCTTCACCTGGAGAGCACCCCACAAAGTTACAGCTGAAGAGCACAGAGTGTGGGCCCCCAAAAGGGAAAAACAGGCCTTCTTCCCTCAACTTGGACCCTGCTATTCCCATTGCTGACCTCTTCTGGTTTGAGAATGCGGCCTCATTTAGTTCACCTGGAATGCAGGCCTCTGAGCCAGGAGACCCAAAGGTCACATGGATGACCTCATCTTACTGTAAAGCAGACCCCTGGAGGGTTTACTCCCAGGACCCCCAGGACCTGGACATTGTGGCTCATGTGCTGACAGGCCGCCGTAACTCAGCTCCTGTGAGTGTGTCAGCTGTGAGAACCTCCTTCATGGTCAAAATGTGCCAGGCCAGGGCGGTCCCAGTCATCCCACCCAAGATTCAGTACACCCAGATCCCACAGCCCCTGCCCTCTCAGAGCTCAGATGAGAGTGGGGCTCCACCTCTGGAGAGGAGCCAAGAGGAACCCAGCTCAACCAGTGGGACCACTCAGAAACCTGCCAAAGTTGATTCTCCCTCCTCCCTGGAAAGCCCAAAGGAAGAAAAACCAAAGCAAGATCCCAGTGCCATTAAGTCCTCACCAGTGGAAGCCACTGCACCCTGCCTGTGTGAGGGACCCACCCTTTCTCTAGAACCAGGCTCGCCTAACCTGCTCTCGATGCAGGATGCAACAGTGCAATGCAGAAAGCGCACTTCAGAGACAGAGCCATCTGGGGACAACCTTCTTTCTTCAAAACTGGAGCGACCATCTGGGGGATCTAAGCCTTTCCACAGGTCAAGGCCAGGAAGACCTCAGAGCCTAATCTTATTCAGTCCTCCTTTCCCCGTTATGGACCACCTGCCCCCCTCATCCACAGTGACAGACTCCAAAGTCCTGCTGTCCCCTATCAGAAGTCCCACTCAGACAGTTTCCCCTGGCCTTCTTTGTGGAGAGCTGGCAGAAAACACATGGGTCACACCAGAAGGGGTTACACTTAGGAATAAAATGACCATCCCTAAGAATGGCCAGAGACTAGAGACCTCAACTAGCTGTTTTTACCAGCCCCAGCGGAGATCGGTGATTCTGGATGGAAGAAGTGGCAGACAAATAGAATGATTTCAGTTCACCTGCTGGTGTCTGAAAAAAATTGTAATTCATCTGAAAGTTACTAGAGAGCCAGCTTGCCATAGGTTATCAAGCTTGGGCTTATTCTCTTTCTTCAGCCTTTTGACCACTTATTAATTAGTCCATTTGCCAGAAGGGTGGTCAAAGGAAAAACAAGAAATGAAATTTAGTTAAGTCTATGTGAGCAAGTGAGACAAGGTTAGGTAGGGGAAGAGGATGAAATGCTTGCCTCCAGTGAACTTTGGAGCTTGAATGTGAGTTGGATTGCTCCCCTATTGCTATTATCTATTACTCTTGAGAGCTGGCTGTCCTTTGAAAGAAAGAAATAATGTTCTTTGAAAGAAAGAAAAATATCTTGCTGTGTCAAACCTCAAAATGTTGCTATTGAGGTTAGAAGGCCTCCTCTTCATGCTTTTTAATGCTCTTTAAAACATGTGTTCTTTTAGACCAGTTTTCTAATAAGCTTTGTAAAGTGTACTATCCAAAATAGAAGCAGATCTGGAAATGCAAACTAACGTGCACTTAGATATCCAAGTGGGTGAGCTTACCCACTCTTACCCATGCTCTTTCCCTGGAATCCCTGGAGACCTGTCCAAGATGACTTCCATATACCAGCATAGAAAATCAAAATCAAGAGCTAACCATGAGAATGGCATAATTCAACAAGACGTTCTGGCTCTGGCTTTTAATAATTTGGGACTCCAACTGCCACTATACTGGACTGTGATTTTTAAATCTAGTAGCTACACGGGTAGAGGCTGAGCTGAGGATTACCGTAATGAAATGCGCTAAATCTTCATTTAGGAGTGCAATCGTGAAGTGAAGGCATCTGCTTTCTTTACAGTATCAGAGTTCAAGAACAGGATGTCATCACAGATAAAAGCCTCACACAAAGGCAGAACTACACTCCAAATTTAATGTCTTTGAATTGGTGGGGCACTAGCAGAAAATACTTCTAGCTCAGCTTTACTCTTCTTCCACACTAGGCTGGACCCAGCAGTACAGGAGAGGATGAAGGGAGGAGCTCCAGGAGGTGAGGGATGAGCCCTAGTAGGGTGGCCATCACAACCACTCACTGAGAGCTGCCCTTCTTAAAAATGTATTTTATTTTAGCCAGTGGGTTGCTTCCTTTCTCCTTTTCTCTCCACTGCTCAAGAACAGATTTAAGGCCAGGTGCAGTGGCTCACATCTGTAATCCCAACACTTTGGGAGGCTGAGATGGGTGGATTGCTTGAGCCTAGTTCAAGACCAGCTTGGGCAATACAGCAAGACCCCAGCTCTTAAAAAATAGAAGCTTGAGGAGCCCCTCTCCCTTCCAAAATTCCCCTCATACACTGCCCACTCCAGGCACTCACTCAAACTTGCTCTTCAACTCTGTATACAAGCAGAAGCAATAAACCAATCTGATTTTCTTTTCAATTATTTATAACTTTCAATGGTTCTTTTCTTTCCAGCTGGCAAGAGAGAGGAGAACTAATATACCTGCTGGCATGTTTTTGGTGCTCCTTAAAAAAGGACTTCACAGGGCATCTCTTCTCAGGTTCAAGCCTGGCTGAATTCTGTCCAGAAGCTCAGTCGTTGCAGGAATTTCTCTAAGGGCTGGTAGTACCTCTGGGTAGGCATCACAACCAACGTTGGTTCTGGGCATAGTGGGGGCTAAGATGAAGCTGCCTCCTCCAATGAGAAATTGGGAGCTGATGCCCTGCAACAGATACATATTCGTCTCTCTCTTCCTCCCTCCCTGATAAGCCTTACAAACAGTTTTGAAATCTTGTTCTGTACCTTTCAAGTCTTTGGCGAGAGTCAGTCCTGCCTTCTGAGAGCACTGAGTGAGCAATGCCTTTCATCATTGTTTTGGCCTTCTCTTGGGTGAGTAAGACATTGGACCAACAGCCAATGAGATATGAACCTGTAAGAAAAGTCCTAGAATATAGTATTGTTCCCCTAGGCCAGCAAAGTGAAGAAATATAGTGGTGACAGATGAGAAAGGCCAGGTTCCAGATATCTGAAATGTACCTTCCTACCTTATCAGAAAATGTGGCAGACAGGTTTGATGTGGGTCTCAGTGCTCCTGCGGTGTCCACGCTTTGCTAAGGACCATGTTCTAGTTAGAATGCAAGGGAGGGAAAGAGCTGCACTTTGCTTCACTATCAGAACTCTGAGCCAAATAATGAAATATGTAAACTATTTTATGATCATTTTAAATGTTTGTAACATTTATAAGATATATTTTTATTTGGGGATAGACTGAGAAGCCACCATTTACATATTAACAAGTGACTTCAGTTCTGAGGGTTGAAGTGCCTATGTGGATTTATAAAGTGGTTGCATGATATTTTAGACTCTGACATTTATAGCATCACCTTCAGGAACACAATTCTGTGGATGTCATCATGAGACACACTGACAGCTGTGGAGATAGTCCTTACTGTCAGCTTTCCTTGTCAGTCAAGTCCAGAAGGCCTTAGAAGCTGACTCGCCTTCTCAGTCAGTGTCCCACTGCCGAAGGGCGGACCTCCACTTTGACTTGTGCCCAGCCTGCCAGCCATCACAAAGGCATTCATAAACTTCTTGTGGTCTGGGCTATCCTGGCGCTGATGAAATTCCCTTCTAAAGAAAGAAAACTTATATTCTGCCCTAAATTCTTCCCCCAAATGCCCTGGGATTACCTATTTCACCACCCACTTGAGTCTCTGAAAAATGAATCCCCTGAGAATGGCTAGATGGGAATCGGAGAGTCATTTCATTCAGGAGAGGGACAGAACAGAAGCTGCTGTTTTTAGGAGGATTTACCTGGTGCCCTAGAAACGGCCGTGGAATCAAATTCTCAGAGGGCTTCTTCAAATCAGCTCTCATCCTCAAAATGGCAGCAGTGGGGGAGGTATGGCATGGATGTTAAATGATGAATTTGCAGCGAAATGCATGCATGTACCAATGTTTTCTTTCAGCATTAGTGGTTGCTTAAGAAAATAATAACCTATATCTTCTATTACTCTTGTAATATGAAGAGACCTGACCAAGAATCCCATTAAGACACCTAACCTAATCTAAACCCTAAAACTCAAAATATTGTCCAAGTCAAATTTTTAGACTCTGAGAGCATTAAAAATATAAATATCATCCTCAACAAACAGGTATTGAGAGCTTAGTAATAGTGCACTGGGTACCTTAGCATTCCAAAGTCATTCAAGGATCTAATGAAAAAGGGAGAGGGATGGCAGCAAATGAAACAGCCCATAAACAACCAGAAGCAAAGGTGAGAACCATTAAGTTGCCAAACAAAAGCAGAAGGGGAAAAAGTGTGGCAAGCAGCATCCTTTAATAGGATCACTGATGGTATTCAAGTGACCTACTGACTTCAAATAATCAAATTAAACACAAAAATCCAATAGAACAGCCCAGTGAGACACTCAGGTGTTGAGAACTTTGCTTTGATTTAGAAAATCAGAGAGTGGAAACTAGGTATAATAAGTAGTTCTGAGGTTTTGTGTGGTCATAATTGGTTTGGTGAAGTGTTAGATTTCTGCAAATAAGCCAGATAGGATCAGTATTCATACTGCTTGAAAAGGGGATTTTAGAGACTCCTGTCATCACAAAGCAGGTTAACTCCTAGTTAATGGTGAAGCAGTAGGCCCAAGATAAACTGTTCAAGATTAATTGTTCTTTCAGTGTTTGGCATATGATAATCACATATGGCTAAAATTTGATGGGACAGTCATTTGTCTACACAGGCCTTGCGTTCCTGCATGAAGAGATACTGGGGAGCATACGATTATTTTTCCAGTATTGGAGTGGTAGATGTTTGCAGCAGGTCCAGTTTTCACTAGGATTTATTTGGGCCATATTCTGTCATGGCCAGTCCTATCTGATGACGACATGAATCTTGGGGTTAAGCATTGCTAAGATTATGATTTTAGACATATCCAACAGGAAGGCCAGCTCAAAATGTGGCATGACAGGATATGTGCTCTATTACCAAAACCTTTCCTAGCGAAAGTGGGCCAGAAGAGGGAGCAAGCATCTTTACAAGCCTGGAGAGGAGAGGGTGATGGTGGAAGGGTGATGATTGCCTGAAATCAGTGCCAGTATAGATAGCATAAAATTGGGGGCCACCACAGATTGGCTGGCTAATGTGTGGATCATTTAGTAGTCTTGAGGTACATTAATAATGCAGAGATTACTTTTTTATAAAGGTAAGGAGGACGTAGTTAAATGTAAGAAGCGTACAAGGTCCATAGCCATGTGTTCTACTGGATAAATCGCAATGCTTTGCAATAACTTAATGCCATAGTACTTGCTGGCTTATAATTCTGCAAAGTAAAGCACTTTTTTAAAGGAGTCTATTGGAAAACCACATGATTTCAGCTGTGTTTTAAGCTCTACAAATATGTTTCCAAAGATGTAATCAAAATGTAATTCTATTGATTAAAAATATAAATAAATATTAAAACTATCCGTAGAGACATTTAAGTGTAATTTAAAAAGATTGTTATGCTTTAAAAACATACTCTAATAAATGATATAAAATATAATGCTTATGATGGAACTATGAACTAGAGGAGGACATGGGCTCCCCAAAATCAATAATCAGAAAAGTAGACTATATGCACCAGGCTCATTGTTTTGGCTTGTTTGTTTGATGTCATTTTTTGTTAATTCAGTGTTTGGTCTCACGGAAAAGTCCTTGATGATTTGTTTCAGTACATTTTTCTTGTTTTTGCTATTTTGCATACTAATAATTGTCAGATGTTTGCAACTTCAGCTTCTTACTGTTGCAATCATAGTCATGTCACTCAAGAAACCCAGTGTAGTAAGTCCAGGGTATCGTAATGCAAAATGAGAAGAAAAAAAGCTCCTTGCTTCTCAAAACTCCACAGCTTATGGAGTAACATGGGTCTACCTGCACAGATGTGAACTCAATTTTCCCTATTACTTGAATCAATTAAAGGGGACTCTTCTTTTATTTGAGTGATTATGTTAATGATGCTCTGGGGGAAAGGCAAACATTTGTTATCCTGGCATATATCCTGTTATATATATAACCATCAAGGCAGGGAAGGGGAGGTAAACAATCATAGAACCTACGTCCACAACCTAGTGATATTTGCAGTGAAATATTTCCAGTGATATTTCCCCCTTCATTGCCAAGGGGATGAAAACACTACCATTTTGGCAACAACTTTCTATTTAGAACCTTACTCTCCCTGTGCCAGCTCCTGCTATCCTTCACTACTGCCCTAAAATGCCTCCTATATACTCCCGGAGCCCCAACACTCTTTTGTTTCTCTACTGAACCTCCCTCAACCCCACTCCAACACAGATTCCCCTCACTTCCAATCTTTCCCACTGTTCTCTGGAGTCACTATTTCCTTATAAACTCCCCTGCAGCCCCAGTCTCTTCACTGAATATTGTTGCCACTTCCTGGACTTCAAGAAAACTCACGTGGGAACATTTCTTTCCCTGCACAAAAGGCTGCACATGTGCACATGCTCCCATATTACACAGATTTGAGCAAAGGGTCAGAGGATATTCTCCCAGGCCCTCACTTCTGCACCATTGCTTCTTCCCATCCCATATAAAAATCCCTCATTACCAAAATGTATGGATCCAACTATTTGAACTTTTTTATCATTTGTGTCCATGGTATACTTAATGTCCCAGATTCCCCAGTCTTGGGTACCAAGCAACCTGTTTCCTTCTACCTCATATCCCACCATCATCCTGGATGACTTCAGTGTTCTAGAGGAAAGCCCACCCACCCGATCCCCTTGCCGTAATTACTTACAGCTTTTTACCTCAACTCAGTTTTGAAGATTTGCTTCTAGGGTTACACATCAGGCTATTTCACAATACAGAATTTTATGATCCTAAATTCTTTTTCCTTTTTCAGAACTTTCTTTATCCTTACTACTTTATTCCTTGTATTTGTGCAAGATTGCCACATCTGCCCCCCCTCCCCAGTCTCCTCTGATAGATAGCACTCCCACCACGCTTCATACTTCTTTCCCTAGCCTTTCCAGACCTAAGGCACATCATCCCCATTCTCACCAGGACCATTAACTCCCTTAACTACTAGTCCTTCAGCCATGCCTGCTTGGCAAACCTCCAACCTAGAACCTGGACCCTCATCACATATCTCTGCCCTTTAACTATGTTTGTGGGTTAGATCAGAGAAAACAATAAATCCATGATATGAGAGCTTGTAGATATTTGTGGTCCACCACCTCAACAGCAGCCTCATTTCCAAAACCTGTGGTGGCTATTCCACTATTCTTGATTCTCTCCTAAACAAGTCTTTCTTTCCCACAAACAAGCAACTGTTCTTGCTTCATGGGTTTATAATATCAGACATCTTTTTTCAAGCTCCCACTACTATATCTCCTTACCCATATATGTGTGTACCTAACCTGATTCTAGTTCAGAGGAAGTGTTACCCCTCTTCCCAAGAGCTCCGAGGCTTCTGTGTTCCCATTCTCCTATCATCCACTATTCTTCCCTATGTATTCAGCCTTGCCCTCTTTGATCTTCAATCTGTCAGCATATAAACATGCCAGAGTCTCTTCTATCTTAAAAGTCTTCCTCAATTCTATTTCCTTTACCACCCTGTGTCTAGGTTCCTGGAAGAGTAATCAGTGTCATCAATGCTCAGTTTCTTCTGTTTCATCACAATTCACCATTCTGGACCAACTGCAGCATGACCTCAGCCCGCATAGCTCTCTAAAATTTCTCTTGCTAACGTCACCAGTAGTCTAATATCCAAATCCAACATTCACTTTTCAGTCTCCAGACTTCCCTGTTATATGTGATCCTATTGATTATTCCTCTTGAAACTTTTTCTACTTTGCCTCCTTCCATAACCGTTCATTTTCTTAGCTACATTCACTTAAAAGTTTCCTCTTCCTGGCTGGGTGTGGTGGCTTATGTCTGCAGTCCCAGCACTTTGGGAGGCCACGACAAAAGAATTTGAGTCCAGAAGTTCAAGACCAGCCTGGGTAACACAGGAAGACCCTGTCTCTACAAAAAAAAAAAATACAAAAATTATCCAGGTATGGTAGCACACACCTGTAGTCCCAGCTACTCGGGAGGCTGAGATAGGAGAATCACCTGAGCCTGGGCGACAGAGCAAGACTCTGTCTCCCCAAAAAAAGTTTCCTTAAAAGCTGTTATCCACCAGAATTCTGTCCTTCTTTCCCTTTTCACCTCATATGCTTTCCCTGAACTATCTTATTTATGCCCATAGCTGCTTCTACCACCCTCACACTGGTGACCCCCCTCACCACTATTTTCTCTT